GAAAGGCCCCAACATTGAGGATTCAAAATTTCAAAATACAGCCCCAAGTTTCCTACTCCATGTCCACAATAGGTCGCGTTTTTGTGTGGAACCCTGTTCTAATTCAATCCCATTCTCGGATCTGGATCCCATACTTTTCCCTGGGGTGAGAACCAAGCAACGATAAGCATCACTGCCAAGCTGGCTGAAGCTGGGACCTTCCTGAGAGGAGTTTCAGCAAGTTTCCAGAGAGCAAGGCTTAAACCTGGAGGCAATAGAGCCAAGTCAGAAATGGTTCCCAAAGGATGGGGAATGGGAGGATAAGACTGATGGTGTTTAAGAGTACAAACCTGCAAGGAGTAGTAAATAGACCATAGAGATCTAATGCATAGTGTAATGAATATAGACCATATTGTATTATAATTATATAACATAAATGTTGCTATGAAGGTAATCATATTGTAAGATATGATTGTATCAAAATAACACTTTGTATACCTTAAATTTTATACGTTGTACGTTATGGAGCTCAAGGGAAAGTCCAAGTTATCTAGATTTTAACCTTTGTCTTTCTTCAGTTCTATTCTGAGATTTCTTACTAAAATTCTTCTTGCTTAATTCCCTTATAAAATTGTTATAAGTGTTATAATTTTAACTATAATTTCAAGTAATATAAAGAAACCAACATTTAAACAAATACTCCCATGACTGATATAAAATTGTCCAGTATTAAACATCTGATCCTAGGGGCACCTGGGTGGCTCAGTGGGTTAAGCCTCTGTCTTTGGCTCAGATCATGATCTCAGGGTCTGGGATTGAGCCCCACATCGGGCTCTCTGCTCAGCAGGGAGGCTGCTTCCCCCTCTCTCTCTGCCCGCTTCTCTGCTTGCTTGTGAACTCCCTCTCTGTCAAATAAATAAATAAAATTTTTTTAAAAATCTGATCCTATTGTGATATAGAGCACATTAAAATAATAAGAAATTATAAATTTCCTTTACAATGCTTAGCAATAGATTATTTATTCAATCAATCAATGAGTGGAGCTGATGTGGAATACTCAGTAAATGACAAAAAAAAAACACAAAAACACATGTATCTAAAACACACACACACTCACACACACACAGCATTATCCATGTTGCAACACACTCTGAAGTAACACAGGGGCCAGCACTACCTTTCACAGGTGAAGACAGACTCCGATGCAGTCTCAAGTTCTCTGACCACGACCTTCTCACAGTACCAATACTGGGATTCCTCATTGGCCTCGCAGTGCAACAGCACCTTCTGCAGTTTTCCAAGTGACACTGTTTCCACTTGAAATGTATCAGTCTTGTGCAGGAGACAAACCCCACAGAAATAATAGGAGTCCAGCACATGACAAATGTAGGCAATAATAATACCCCAAGACTGCCAGAAGCAGCCCAATACTTTAAAAGAGATAATGTTACTACCATTAGCATCAAAAGGAATAAGAAGGAAAGAAAGAAAAATAAGCAAATTACTTTTACCTATTCAAAATACATTTCTGTGCTTTTTTTCTCTTGCAGTTTTATTTTCTCCATTTATAACAGTATCCAGTGGAAAAAATAAACCCTAATACAAAGGCTTCTGGTTTGTGGCTTTTCTCTTACGCACATTCCTGCTCCTATGACAAAGTTTAGTAGGTGGACAGGTTGAAAACCATGAGCCCTAATACGCAAAATATTTAGTTTCCATGGATATTTTGAGGCACGTAGGAACAAAATTTTCCTTCCTCTTCCCTTCCCTCTTTTTTTTCCTTTCTTCCCTTTCTCCCTCCCTCCTTTCTTCCTTTCCTCTATGCTTCAACAAACCCTCCCCTATACTTCTCTCTGTAAATAATATGTAAAGCACATTCTTGGGTTTGTTGTGAAAGAGCATCCCGGAATCTTCATTCCTAAATAGAGTTGCTTTGTCACGTCAAAAAGTCACCAACATTTCTAGAGAGATGTAGAATCTAAAGTAAATGCTATCCTGGTTGGAATAAAAAGAATTCCTTCACACATCGCTTCCCCATAGATTGTTGTTGAGAATAACTTCCTAAAGTTACCTAAGGAAAGGGTCATGAATTTAATTAAGTCTGCAATGTTCCCAGAAATGACTGTTGATTATTAGCTACCGTTACCCTACTTTGTGGTAAAAATGCAAGCCTAGTGTATATGGGAGACATTGTCTTAACATCTGCCTACATCATTACCGGGTTAAATTTCAATTCTGTATATGAAGATGTACTACCTGGATGTTAACTCTTGATTCCCTGTTGTTCATGTAAATTTTTAAACTAAACTCAAAACATTACTAGTCCAGTGGTATTTCTGCAAGCAAGATGATGATTGTACATGTTCTCAGGTGTGCCTGAATTCCCAGTGTGCCTCTACAATGCACAATTTCACAATACACATCACCAGTTGTTGCAGATGTGCTTGATGTCCCACCCCCTGTCTTCTAGGTCCCTTTCTGTGTTCACCTGCTGCTTTGGTAGACAATTTTAGGCATGCTGACAGCTTTCTTTCTCAACCCTCTAGGTCTCCCTTACTCTTTGCCTGAGGGTTTCCCTCTTGTGGGAGAGTTTTGAGGGATGTTCTGCAGGGTTTCTCAAGGTTCCCAGCAAGAAGGAGTTCCAGCTCCTTAATGTCCCTATATGGCTTTTCTCCCTTTCCTGCCTCATTTTCCCAACTCCTTCACTCCAAAGATAGTTACTGGGATCACCTCCCAAATAAATTACTGTAACCCAGTCTTTGTCTAATTGTCTGCTTTGAAGCAAATCCAAACTATGATACCTCAACATCCAGAAAGATTGTCTAAATCAACTTCCTGTTTACTTCTTGTTTCTTCAAGTAACTTGAGTTTTGAAGATAGAATTAAATTAGGTCTATCACATGTGTCGCTGCATTTTGATTGCACAACTGGACACTGTAGAGGAATATGACAATAACCAGCCCAATCAGGGGCTGAGGGTGTGAGCTGTGGCTGGTGTGAAATCATTCTGGTAATAAACTAAAAGGTTGTTGTCACAGTTTCTCAACTATAAAACTCTTGAAATCATTTGGCATTCCCATTATATTCCATGCATTGAGGGAAAAATAGAAAAATGTGAAATGAGCCAGGGGAGAAAAATACTTTTATATCTCTGATTCTGAACCTCAAAACATACCAGTAAGCCCATATTTTTACTTATCTATACATTGATTACAATTATACCTCCTGCCCAATTTTAATTTCATCTGTAATGCACCCTCTCCATTCTCTGGTAAGTGTTATATACAGTAATGAACTGAAGATTAACAGTGAAAATGACTTGTGAAATCTTTTCTTTTTTTTTTTTTTAAGACTTTATTTGAGGGCGAGCATACAGGTAGGGAGAGGGGAAGAGAGAGAAGGAGAAGCAGACTCCCCACTGAGCAGGGAGCTGAATGGGGCTGGATCCCAGGACCCTGGGATCATGACCTGAGCTGAAGGCAGATGCTTAACCAGCTGAGCCACCCAGATGCCCCCCAAACCCACTGCAATTTTAGTATATTTACATTATTAAATAACAAGAACTTATAAAGTGGTTGCCTGCACTGTGTTTGGGGTTGAGGAATTCTAAGATAATGGTGAAGAGCTTAAATCTCAGTGAGAGAATGGACTCTTGATATTTGAAGAATGTATAGTGTCAAAAGAGGCACTAACAAACTGCTGTGATACTCAAGAGGGAGAGTTTATACTGTTAGACTAAGGTGGAGAAAAAGTAGTAATGGGGTCAGGGGCTAAGATTAAAATCATATAATTTTACAGATATAAAAGACTTTAGAGATTAATCCATTGGCTTTAAAACTTAAATGTAGGTGAGCTCCTCAAACAAAATTGTGAGGAAGCCTAAGATGTGAAACAGAAGAATTTATTTTAGTGTGTGTTGGTGGAGGGGGGGATTCAGTAGCACATATACAGATCACAGTTGAAACCTTTCCTGCCCCCATACTCTTAGTAGATTATGTCCTTTACTGAGAAAATCAAAACCACCTAACAAATCTTAACATGCAACCTCACATGATGCCGCACGCCAATAGACCAACTAGCAGACAAGCAGGAGAGATGAAGCTCCCATCATTATATATCACAAAATGGCAGGGCAAAAGAATCTGGGACTGAAGGAAAGCTATGAGGATTCCTTGGGGAGAACATCTCTGATCACTGGGTATAATAATAGTAATAAGATCATGACATCTAAAACTTTGTTCTACTCAAAATTAATTCACGTGTGATGGCAAAAATTAGGCACAGTTTTGCTTATTCCCTCATCCAAAGCAGATTCAGCTTTCTTCATTCTGTTGAAAGCATCTATGTAACTTTCAGTGACAAGACAAGCTTAGGTGATCTCTAAGATCTCTGTTTCAAAATAATTCACGAAGTAAAAAAAAAAAGCTTGAGAAGTAGCACTCTCAAACTGGTTTGAGAGCTTTCTTTCTGAAAAATATATGCTAGGGTTACATAATTCCTATTTTTAGTTACAGACCCCAAATAGTACTTTCTTTCTATACATAACAAAATAACATTAAAAATTAACTGGGCTGATCATGTATTTATATATTTCACTGCCACTCCTCAAACATCTAACATATAGGAAGACTCAGGGTTATATATATACAGACAAAAGGGAATAGTGAAGGGCTTAAGGTGTGACAATAATTTAGTTGATTCCATTCAAGATGTTTTAAAGAAAGTCTATTGTGTTCCTATGTGAAATGTACTATAATGGCCCTTCTATGACCTGACCTTTTAGAATAATACTTTGTACTTTTCAATTCTAACAGGACATGTTTATATATATTTTCCCTGATATCATCTCATTTTTTTCTTATAGTATCACGAAATTTTAATGTAATTTTCTTTGTTCTATTATTCACGGTTAGTCTAGTGCATCCCATTTTTCTCTCAAGAAATTCTAAAACAAAGGATATTAGGAAGTCAGGAAACGTTGTGTTAAAGATGTTCTAGAATGAAAACTTGAAGGGTGTCAAGCACCTTTCAGTTTTCAATTAGAAGTGTCCACCTTCAGGGAGATTGCTAAACACATGGGAAATTTATCTGTGTGGACTCACCTGTCCTCTTTGAAATTTTACTGGCATATTAGATTTGTCCAGCAGTCTAAGACCGGAGTCTCCCCTCTCTCCACAGAGACACAGGGAAACTTCAGACTCTGTTTCTGCTTGCTTCAGTTGCCCGGTATGGACATCAACATAGTATCTCACTACTGGCAAAAAAAAAGGGGAGAGAAAAAAAAGAAAATTCATTACCTGGGAATTCGTACAAACTGAACCCAGATCCATGGGTTAAGCTATAGAAAAAGCAGTTTATGAGAATTCCTCTTATCTAGAGTTTCTGTAACTATTGAGAGATTTTTAATTTTTTTCAATTATTAACTTTAATTATGAATGGGCATTTTTATACCTAGAAGATGTGTAGCTTTTTCAAAAAGAGAAATAAAAGAATTTTTTTAGAAGATTTTATTTATTTGACAGAGATCACAAGTAGACAGAGAGGCAGGCAGAGAGAGAGGGAGAAGCAGGCTCCCTGCTGAGCAGAGAGCCCAATGTGGGGCTCGATCCCAGGACCCTGGGATCATGACCTAAGCTGAAGGCAAAGGCTTTAACTCACTGAGCCACCCAGGCACCCCAAGACTTTTTTAAAAGGCTGTTCTTAGGGTGCCTGGGTGGCTCAGTTGCCTAAGTGTCCAACTCTTCATTTCAGCTCAGAATGTGATCTCAAGGTAGTGAGAGGGAGCAACACATCAGTTTCCATCCTCAGCATGGAGTCTGCTTAAGACTCTCTTTCTCTGCCTCTCCCCCCCGCCTTCTCTCTGTCTCTCAAATAAATAAATAAATCTTAAAAAAAAAAAAAAAAGCCTGTTCTATGTATGACATGCTTAGTATTTTAGTGGCAAGGGTGGCAATGTTATTGTACATGATGCTTTAAGTTTAAACTGAGATAAGTGTGAATGAGAAAATGCATCAAAAGTGAGGTGATGGCTTGAGGTGGTCACTGACCCAGACAGAGCCAGATGAGGTCCAGACCTGACATTATGTCTCTCTCATAGCCTTAGCCCCTGCAACTGTAGTTGAACCATAAGAACCTCTGAGATCACATTTAATCCCAGCTCCACCACTGACCCATGCTGTCTAACAGAAAAAGTCATTTCTCAAGGGTAAACAACCCTCTTAGAAGTAGAAAAAATAGGGGCACCTGAGTGTCTCAGTCAGTTAAGCATCTGCCTTTGGCTTAAGTCATGATCCTGGGGTCCTGAGATGAGAGGTTGAGCTCCAAGTCCAGCTCTCTGCTCAGTGAGGAATCTGCTTCTCCCTCTACCCCTCCCCTTCCCCCCTTGTGTGCACATGTGCTCTCTCTTTCTAATAAATAAGTAAAATCATTTTTAAAAATTAATAAATAATAAAAAGGTAGAAAAATGCTCTGTAACTAAGTAGTTCAGAAGTAAATTTAAGCAACTATAAAACAATTTGTATACACAATATGTGGTACTAAAAATTAATAACACACATGGAAAAATGGCTTGTCCTTCTGGTAGTACAGGAAGCTCACAGACAACATCCCCCTCAGTTTGCATTTGAAAGAACCATGCATTTATCACAAAATCTAGGGTCTTCTTGCTCTTTGTGTGTTGTATGTTCACCTGGATTTAGAAGAAACAATTACTGAACTGTGCGATTTCCAGTTCCCATAGAACTTCAAGATGCATCCCAGGGGTTGCTAAAATGTACTTCATACACCGACATTTGTTGTTGTTGTTTTTAATAGTAGTAGTAGTAGTAGTGGGGACTGTTGCTTATTATTTGCCAGTTATTACGCTGCGTGATTTGTCTTGATGATCTTTTTTAACCATCACCAATTAGATTGGACAAATTCTTATAATTTTATAGATAAGAAAGTGGAGGCTTGGAGATTTGAAATGGACTCTGATTCAAAGCTTTCAATTTCATGATAGCAGTTGCTAAAGAAGAATTCTATAGGAGGAACTCCAAAAGAGATTTTGTGTTCATTTTAGTCACCAAAGCAGGCACACCCCAGAATTTAGAAAATTGCCAATGTCTTTTAAATGCATTTCAATAGCCATAGGCTGTGAATAGCCCTCAGCTGCCCAGCCAAAGTGCCTCACTTCCCAGCTGCCTCTGCCTCCCAGGCTGGTGAACTCTCCACAAACTTCTCACCGGCTCTTGCTCCTTGGTGGCCATTTCACAAGAAGGCTCTCTTCACTTTATCTTCCCCTTAACATCTCAGCAAAAGGCTTCCAGAAGGAATGTCAAAACTGCCTGCCTCTCCTCCAATCACAGTGGATAAAGTGCCCCTCTCCCTTGAAGAAGCTAGTTCATCTTCTATTTAAGTCTCCAGCCTCCTGAATTTCCTCTGCCTCCTAGCCTTGGGAGCAGGCCCCACTATTTCCCAGGTGGCTTATTCTCATAACCTGACGGCTGCCATTTTGTCTCCCTTCAAACCCTGCTTTTCAGCTGTTTCAACAGAAACCATTCTAAAATAGAAATCTGATCATTGTGTATACTGCCCACAACTTTTTCAATACTCCTAACTATAGCACAAAGTCCAAAATCCTCAGAATGATGAGCAGTTCATAATCAGGCCCAGCTGAACTTGATGAGACTTCTCCCTCACATCCTAAATCCAGTCATACTAATCTGTTATGGTTCCCCAACTGCCCACATTCCTTCTCACCCCAGTGTTTCTGTGCACACTTGCTTCTGTACATAGAATGGCTTTCATCTGATACACTACCTTTCATACAATGCCCATCCTGCATTACATGACTCAGAACCTCTTCTGAGAAGGGGTCAGTGAGTCCCTGGTCTGGGTTAGGAGACCCTACTTTGTAATGCATGGCAACCTACCCATTCATGACTAAGACTTAGCACCTAATATGTGACTGACCTGATGGAAGGGATCATGTCCTATTCACCTTGGTTCTTCCACAAGCTTTCACAAGGCAGTCCTTAGGTTGTTTTTTGATTGATTAAATAAACAACTACGTGAAATGGGTATTTGTCGACATAAGTAATAAAACTAAATCAGTGCATCTGTCCCTAAAGCCTGATTGTGTCTTTATTGCTCCAGGCAATAGACCATTAAAAGAACACTGGATTTGCAGACAGAAAATCTGGGACCAAAATCTAGATCTACCATTTTACAACTGTTTGTCCATGAGAGATTTACATACCCACTTTAAGTATCCATTTCTTCATCCATAAAATAGCTCACATGGTTGTTGTGAAGATTAGATGAGATTATATATAAGAAAGGTGCAAAACTTTTTATAAGCTGCACAAATAATTCATATTTACATTAGCCATATTTACATATGAATATATCAATAAATATAAAAGTGATTAATATAATGTATTCCATTAAATTTGGAAATGTCCCCCTCTCTGAATCATATCATGCTTTATTTCTATACCAGTAAGATGGAAAATTCAGGAATACTAAGAGATAGAGACCAGTCATGAAGATTCATATGCTTTTTAATCCAAAGTAGATACAATGCTAAATTAAAATTATTTTTGCCATCTTTCTGAAGTTTTAAAACTTCAGTTGCCCAGTGGTCGTGAAACTCAGAGGTTGTTGACTTGGCAATTGGACAGAGAGGAGTGGTGGATGAATAAAAGAAGAGTAACCCACATCCCACAGCTGAGGATCCGTATCATGAGCCACCTTGTTCCTAAAATCATAGCAAGTGAGAAATGATGTTTAATCTTTGATTTCCCTTCCTAAATCCTATTATGATTTTTTTCTCTTCATTGGGGATAAAAAGAGATATTACTTCCTGAACTATATAAAGTAAGATGCTCCTCAAAAGAGCAAGCAAACAGAATTCCTAAACAAAAAAAGCTAACCGAGGGTATGAGGGAATTTCCAGCTCCTCCAAGCGCTTGCATGCAGATGACCCCCAAAAGTGACACACAGACCTTTGACCTCCTTGCAGTGATATTTCTTACGGTGATAATCATAGCACTGCTCTGGTTATGGTTGGGAGTTTAACAAAAAAAACCCTCTACCATCAAGGAGAGTATATAGTTTATATGTGAAGGTGTATTAGTGTGAATTAGTGTATATATTAGTGTGCTTATTTTGTGTGCATAGTGTGTATAATTAGTGTATATAGTGTATTAAATAATACAAGACTACATTAAAGCAGCATATCCATAAACACTTCTTTTTTTCCATAAACACTTATTAAAAGAAACTAAGTTCTGTGGGGGTTAAGGATAATGTGAAGATTAGGATACAATAAGAATAATTTCAAATGGAACCTAGTGGATGCTTCAGATAAATGAGGGTCATAAGCAGATGAATGGGAGTCTTCTGGATTCTGCATTTGAAACCTTCCCCAGGAAGCATAAGGTTTTTACAAAATCCTTCTATCTAAAATTCCAACAAGCTCTTCCTCTACACTAAATTCTCTGTGGAACTGGCAAGAAGCCTCTGGTTTCCAAGGCACCACCACCATCCCTCATCCTTAGAAGTACTCACTGTTGAGAAAGTCTCAATCATTTTAGTTAATTGAACGCAATCCCACTAACTCCACTGAAAAGCCTTTGGGGGTGAGGCCTCTGGATGAGTTTCATTTACCTTCAAAGTAATGGTGCCATAACATAAAAAACAACAAATCTACATTAGTTTGTTTTGTTTTGTTAAGCAATATAGAGATACAGCAGTGGTTTTTGACTGGGTGAGATTTTGCCCTCCCAGGGACATGTGGCAGCATCTGGAGACATTTTTGGTTGTCACAACTGGGGGTTGGTGAAGGTGCTACTGGAATCTAGTGTGTAGAGGCCATGGATATTGTTAAACATTCAACAATGCCTAGGACAGATCCCATGACAAAGAATTATACAGTCCCAAATGTCAAAGTGCTAAGGTCAAAAAATCCTGGGATAGAAAGATAAATATTTTATAATAGGTAATTCAATAATTAAACAGAATGATTTAGGTTAAGAGAGATACATTCATTCATAGATCTTATTTCCAGTTGTGTTTGTTTTTATTGTCACAATTTTTTCTACTATTAAAGTAATAAAATCATTTTAAAATTATTAAAGTATTAAAATGAGTAATAAACTTCAATTATGAAAGTATAAAGGTCAAAATTCCTGGATGGTCACAATGCATAAGCTCAGTCATACAGTAGCTAATCGCAGGACATGGTGAAAGACATACCTCAAGTGGGACAAG